TTTTTTTTTTTTTTTTTAAATATGAGTATTTAAGATGATGGCTAAAAATATAGGAAAGTGAACTTCAAGTTGACCCGTTCGCTCTCTTCTCATATTCTAAATAGTCATGTCTGCTAAATCTTTTCATAGAAATACTTCCATAACCAGCATATTTGGTAACACTTTACAATAAGCTCTCATTTGTTCACTTTAGTTAATGCTAACATGGACTAAAGAGCAATATAGGCCTGTATAGTTAAGAAAATTTAGATTTAATATGTAATATAAATTAAATGTAGGCCTATATACTTTTTATATTTTTAATTAGGCTATTTGACAATATAATAAAAATGTATATAATAATTTAGTTAATAAAATGCCATTGTTCATGTTAGTTCACAGAGCATTAACTAATGTGAACAAACTGAAATGTATTAGTAAATGTTAAAATTAACATTAAGAATAATAATCTAAATACTGTAGAAGTATAAGTAGTATTCATTGTCAGTTCTTGTTAACTAACATTAAGAAATTAACAAAGTATTACTGCCTGGCTGCATTCAATATTGACAGAAAAATTAGAAAATGGCACTTTTTCGGGGGGGTTTTTTCTTCAAATAAATGAAAAAAAAAAAATCGACTTTATTTTTCGTGGAAATTGAATATTTAAAATGTTTATCCATTTTCTGCCCCGTACGTAAAAGCGAATTTTGAAGTTTTCCATTTTCAAAGTTATCTACTTTCAATATTAAATAAAAAAAAATTTAAGAATGCAATATACAAGGACCTTGCGTATTCAGTTTTTAAATGATTTTTTTCAATAAGCTTTAGTTCAGAAGCTTATTGGGAGCAGGAGTGCGGTGTTTGGTGATGTTGGTCACCTGCAGAAGTTGGTTCCGCACTCATAATGATCTCTGCATCCAGAACCCACGGGTTTCAGAGTGTTCCATCGCCATAGTAACGAGCGTTCCTGCAGTTCTGAATCACAATTCTGACCTTATTCAGAATTCTGAGATTGTTTCACAATTGTCTCACAGAATAAAACATTTTTAAAAAATGTAATTGTGACTTTTATATGCTGAATTGTTTATCTTACAATTCAGACATTTCTTCTGAGAATTGTGAGGAAAAAGTCAGAATTGTGAGATAAAAAAATTCCAGTTACCTTTTATATATAGGCTATATATATATTATTCCATGGCAGAAATGGGCTTCTGTACTGAGATGATATGCAGACGTTTAATGAATAATCTTCATTGTGATTTCGAAAGTAAATTATGTCCCAAATGTACAAATTTAGACTCTTGAACTACTAAATTTAGAAAGCTGTCAAGGTCGGTCAAGCCCCAAACATTTGCTCTGCGAGTGACATTGTGCAGCTCCAGACAATGATTTACAGAAGGGTTGCAGTGCATGTGCAAACAAAAGCAGCAGGTAGAATAAAACACGCTTCAGTCCGTCACGCGGCATCAGTTTACAATCGCAGGAAACTGATGAGATGAGATCCCTGTTATTCCAGCTGGTGGAAAAGTTTCACGTGCACATTACCAGATGATCCTGTTTTAGAAACAAGTCACACATGCATCTGACTCCAGATCAGCTGACGGTGTGTTTTATGACTGACAATATGCAGAACTGATATTTTGTCTTAACTATTGTCTTATTTGTAGTTTATGAGAGTAAACCCATATGGCAAAAAAAAAAATTTCAAACATATTTTAAATATACAAAAAAATATGTTTACTGAAGTATGTTTCAAAATATATTGACAAAAAAATATTTTGGCCATTTTTAAAAATATTTTTGAAAATATATGTAAAAATAAAATAATATTTTTTAAAGCATTTAAAAAAACTGTTTTGCCTTCAAATATTTATTTTTAAGAAAATACATTCACATAGGTTATGTCACATTTGAACAAATGATTTGATTTAATCAGATAAAGAAGCTAAAGATAATTTCCAGCTCTTTATTAAAAGCATGTTAAAAGTCACAAATTAAAGTGGCTTTAATTACACTATATATATAAAATAAAATAATACATTATAAAAGACAGATATATGACATTATAGTAGATGCTGTCTTTTATAATGTATTATTTTATCAATATTACAATGTAAAAAATAATTTATTGAAGTAAAACAGAGATTATTGGAGTACATTTTAAAAGAAAATGAATACCGTATTGGCCCGAATATAAGATGACCCTGATTATAAGACGACCCCCCCCTTTTCCAGATGTACCTAAACATTAAAAAAGTATATAAAAAAGAAAAACAATATGAATAAATAAAACAAACAGTGAATATGAATAATGATTAATTTTTATTAAAAAAATTAGATTTCAAACTTTCAGTATTTTCTGCACGTCTGACTTCCACCGGAAGACTGAAAGATAATGGTTTCTGCAGCAGTTTTTCCTGTGTATTATTGAGTTGTTTAGTCTCTGATGGCATCAGATCGGTGATTGTGAGGTGATGTACCTGTAAGGCCAGCAGCAGAGACAGCAGAGCGGTCAGGACGAGCAGACGCTGGGTCACCGGCATCATCTTCAGGCTTTTGCTGAACGTCTATCAGTGCGACAGAGACTGAGCCGGACGCCTTTATATGAGGCTGATAAGACTATCAGAGATCAATGATCATCAGAAATGAGGACGAGTCCATGTCTGCGAGGGTAACAAGACCCTAATGAGCTGGAGGACCAGAGTAAAATACACACCGGTGACGAGCTTCACGTTAGTCACTCAGATCATCCTCATATTCTGAGTCTTGTGTTCATGTTTACCTGCTCAAAGTCCAAGCTTAGCTCTGTTTGAGACTCCCACTGGACTCCCAATGAGCAGTCGGCATTTACAGGGGAGTATAATATTAGAATAATAGTGCAGTGATGAAAAATGCCAAATGGTTCTTGAAAGTTATGAACAAACGCTCTTCCAGTGACATTAATAGAATGCTCATTCAAAGTTATCTGATCTTTAAAAACGTTCTCAGAATGTTTAGTTGGACATTCATGTAAAAATGTTACTGGTTCAGAGAACATTCAAAAGTAACGTTCCTGGAATGTTTGCAAAATCATGAAATGTAACATTCCCTTAAAGGGATAGTTCACCTAAAAATGACAATTCTGTCATCGTTTACTCTCAAGCTGTTCCAAACCTTTATGGGTTTCTTTCATCTGCTGAACATGAAAGAAGATATTTTGAAAACTGATACTGGTCCCTTTCCATTGTATGGAAAAACAAAATACAATGGAAGTCAATGGCTACCGCCAACCGTCTGGTTACCAACCTTCTTCAAAATATCTTCTTTTATGTTCAGCAGAAGAAAGAAACTCATACAGGTTTGTAAAAACATGAGAATGAGCAAATCATGACAGAATTGTCATTTTTGGGCGAACTATCCCTTTAATATTGTCTTTAACGTTCACAGAACCAAGAAGAAACGTTTTTTAAACATTTAAATCATGAACGTTCATAACGATCTTAATGGGAATACTAAGTTATTTTAATATTTTTGTAAGCTGTGATGTATTGGTATTTAAATTTTGTAAAGTAATTAATACAGACAATTTATATTACATGATAATTAAATTTAAATGTATGTTTCTAACGACTACATTTATGTTTCTATCTTAAAATCCTTTTAGTTCATGCATTTCATCAAATGTGTCCAAACTCTTTTATCATATAACTTATTTCACAATAGTGAATATATATATATATATGTATATATATTCTCTCTGGATGGCAGAATTTAAAGAACAGGTTGTGAAAAAAGCAATTTTCACTTCCTTTTATCCTTCACAAAAACACATTCAGTGCTGAGTAATGATTAAAAACAAAAGCAAAACTGCACAGCTGACATATGAATAAGTGTGTTGTTGTTGTTGATCAGGAGTTTGCCGCTTCTCTTCACCTGTCCAGCAGAGGGCAGCGGCACTCCAGCTCATTTACTGACTCATGATCATGATGTTCACACACATTCTCTTAATAACATTCAATTCAAATTCAAATCAAATGTAATTAATCAGTACTGTCTGTAATTTAGATGATGGAGTGCTGCTGTTGGTCCGGACACACTCGTCACTGAGAGATGAGTGTTATTATGGGATGCATGGCGGTCATGGGTAACCATGGTAACCTGATTGTTTTGTCTCTGATAACCTGTGAAGAGGTAGAGCTGGGTTCTTCTCAGAGAGCTCAGGTAAAGGCTGTGTGTGATGTGTGTAGATGGTGACCCTCATCCTGTGATGAGCCTGATGTTTCCCCAAATTTATCGTTCAGAGCTAAGATGTCATTCACATTTATTTATAAAGCACTTTTCACAATACGGTTTCAAAACTGCTTTACAAAAAAATCATGATGTTAATGTTTATAACATCGTAATATCTTCATGCCTTATAGTCACATTTATCATATTAGAGCTGGATGATAATATAGTTTTTGTTTTTCTATGTTCACTACAGTACTGTATATATATACATCTTTGTCATACTAGCTTGGCGTTCCCATCATTGTTTTTCTGAATACCGGGAAACGCTTTCCAAAAATGATCCCCAGAAGCGCTGGACCCCCTGAAGCCCTATAGTAGTGTGTGTGTGTGTGTTTGTTTCATGTATGTGTATGTGCTCATCTGGGCCCCTGAACATCCGTTGTTGTTTCAGTCACAAATAAATCAAAGAGACGCGTCTCCTCCTGAAAGCGAACACAATGGAGGATCTGATCCGACCCTGCTTCAGCATAAAGCTGTGGAGGCCCCGTCCTGCAGCGCAGGGGCCCGTTTGCGTCCATTGTTATTAACGGATGACGTTTCTGCTCCTTTGATCGAAACACTCCAAGAAATCCTTCAGTGAGTGAATGTAAGTTCAAAATCTGCTAAATGTTATTTCTGTGTGTGTGAAATAAAAATCTGCTTGTGTTATTATAATGTGGAAAAAAATCCATGTGTATTATTTTAATTACTTTAGCAGAAATTAAAGGCTATATGTATTTATATTACATATATAAAGGCTATAATTATACAATTATATAATTATTTTACATATTTAATTATTTTACTTGATTTTTACATATTTCTTACACACACACACACACACACACACACACATATAAATGAATATATGTATTGAATGAATATATTAAATAATAAAAAAATATTTTAAAAATTATTATAAATTTTTTTTTTAAATAACAATTTATTTTATTATTTTGTTCTTTTTTGTGTGTATTTATATGTACTTTATTATTATTACCACTGCCTTTTATTGATAAATGTTTAGCTCTTTTTTCACAGTGTGTTTTGCTATGATTCTGTTTTTTTCTTTTTCTTTAATAGACTACTGTTTTTATTGAAGAACACTTCAGATTAGAATCGTGAATATTTTTGAATAACAAAATCATGGTTATTTAATTTAATACATAAATTCTCAAAGTTTCTATTAATGGAAAAGTTTAAAAACAAGCAGTGTTGTCAAGTACAGTAGAAATAGAAATACCAGAACACATTTCTTAGTGCTTATGGGCTCCTGAAGTATATTGTGTTGGACAGCAGGGGGCCTTTGAGTCAAAACTCTGATGCTTTCCATGAAATAATGAAAACAACCAGTGAACTCAAAGAATTCAATACTTTATTCAGTAGGGACGCATTAAATTGATCAAAAGTGACAGTAAAGACATTTCTAATGTTACAAAAGATTTCTATTTCAAATAAATGCTGTTCTTTTGAACTTTCTATTCATCTGTGAATCCTGAAAAATAAAATGTATCACAAAAATATTGTTGATAATAATCAGAAATGTTTGTTGAGCAGCAAATCAGCATATTAGAATGATTTCTGAAGATCATGTGACACTGAAGACTGGAGGAATGATGCTGAAAATCACAGGAATAAATGACAGTTTAACAGAGATTCACATAGAAAACAGCTGTTTGAAATAGTACAAATATTTCAGAGTTTTCATCA